AAAGTTTCTTATTTTTCTTTTAGAGTCTATCGCTTCTTTCATTATAATTTTGGCGTTATTAAAATGTATTCTGTGCCCCACGTTTCATGAAGGCTGACAAATCTTAGATTTGTGAAAATCTCCCTATCTTAAATAATCTTTATGTTCTTTAATTCGAATATTTAAGTGTCTAGATGTTTCACCATGAGATGAACAGCCTATTTAAAAATAGACATATTTATTTAAATTCGAAACATTCATTTTTAAGACACTCTGTATACATAAACAAAATTATTGATTTTTAAAATATTATTCACAAACTAGGGAGAGGGAAATCAGGCGACGAACAGAGGTGATATTTGTTAGATAATAGCTTCTAGACTACCATTCGAGACGCATTGATTTTATTTTGGTTCTTGAGTTCTGTGACAAAGAATGTTATTAAAGGTAAAGTAAATGTTTTCTTATTATTTAAATAATGTTAACTAAATCATATTGTTTTGTTTTCTTGTTGTAATTCTGTTCTAAAGCTTTTTCATTATTCATTTGATCTGACAAAGACAATATATAACATGTGTATGCATTTAATGGAATCTATTTATGCTGTAAATAATTTCAGTTTAAAAGTAATCTAAATAAAATTGTTTACTGTTCCTTCGTGCCGATGTTTGTGGTTTGTGAGAATAAGAGCCTTATTGAGTGTACCAACAATTTTCGACCTTGCATGGGCGAATATCTTAGCTCGCAAAAGGGCAAACAAAAGCAATAAATAAAATAATTCATAGAATAACTTACAATTTATTAAATTATAAGATATTGGCGCTAAACCTTCAACTTTAGCGTCGATTCCGCAACAAGGGACTTAGTACCTACGGGTGGGGACCCGTTAAACTAACAAAAACCTCTTCAGTTTTGAACGATATAAATGTGGCATGTTTTGAGTGTACTAAACTATAAACCTAGGTATGAGGACAGTTTCTATATTATTATTTCTCTTTTATTAAAGTTCAGGACAGCATAGTTAGATTCTCCGGAACAGTGATCATGGTTTTCTCTGCCGTACTCTTTTACATGTGAATTCCAGGCAGAGTACGGCACTCCTTTCATTTCATTTAATAAAACAAGTAGAGCTATTTATAAATTTGGCATTTTATTTACATAACCTATTCTCCTCAAATTTCTCAAAATATTTCTTTGTCGAGGCGCATCCGAGGTAATCACAATAAAAAAATATTTAACACAACGTAGGTTCCTTTCTTTCATTTAAATTGTTTGTTATACAGTTGGCCAAAAATATTACCTCTTCAACTTTGTTGACGAATTTGGGTTGTTACACTACAACCAATGTAAAATTTATCGCATTCACATGGTATTTTGTATATCACATTTTTTGTTTGTTGTTCTGTATTCATTGGTTTAGTATGTGATAAAATGGATCTAAGTGTATTTTGTGTTTTGAAAGATGTTCGTATGATTTATTATTGTTTTCCTATCCTTCTTATTTTTTCCGAAACGCCTCGTATGTATGGAATTGTAAGTTGTATATATTGTGTATTGTTATCATTGTGTCTACGATTTGGGGTTTGTTTTTCGTTTGTATTTGTATGTTTTGTCAATAAAATATGGTGGATAGTCGTTTTTTATTAATGTATATTTTTATGTCGTTTATATCCCTGTTTAGTGAAATGTCGTCTGTAGATATTATTTTTGCCCTGTCATATAAACTTCTTAACAAATATTTATCTTAACAAAATACACCCTCTAGTTTATTTTAAAGTTATAATCTATCCTAATAGATCAAGCTATTTTAATTAAAAGAAAAAAAAGGGGAGCTCCCCAAGAAAGAATCCGTTCGAGTGCCAAAGCTATTTTTGTCTCTCCTCGATAAAGAACTGGAGGTCTGGCAGTGGAGGAGGCAAGTTCAAGGACATCCCAACCAGACGTGTAACACCTAAAAATACCAAGCTTTGTTTGTATTACAGATTACAGAGGGGTCTGTGATTTACTTTCTCCGCTCTAATATGAGATATGTTTATTGAAATAACTTGTGTATATATTGCTTTAAAACTATGATATTTCAACACTGAAAATTATAATATACAGGATGCTTCTGAATGACCTGCCAATATTTATCAAGTATATCATTGTGTTTTGTGAAGTTGGAAAGAAAAAAATATGGAAATTTGTTTCAAAATTGTATTTCTGCAAAAAAAGAATATTTATTTTTTTAAATTCCGCGAAAACTTTCAATAATTTCTGAGTACTGTAATGTTCTAGGTAATTCTTACTTTGCAAAATTATTTAGATATCTGGGCCAGAAGATTCTACGTAAATTTATAATTATAAATAGAACATAAATAAGAATATTTAGTACTATGGTGGGCAATCATACTGTGATATATAGGGTGTGTCTTAAATAAATTCAAATATTTTTAGGAATTATATACACACACCGGAAAAGTCTAGGGATATTACAATTTTATCCAGCCATCGTCAGTAATTTTATTATTTGCATCTCTGATATAATGAAATTAAAATAAACAAATAGTTTACAGGACGTATTGGAAATAAAAATGCGAAATTTACCGAATTTTTCAAACTTACCTTGATTTTTATTGAACTCAAAAAAATACACACATTTTTTTTTATTCTAAACTGTAAATTAAAAAAAAAAGATAAAACCAATTTTACTTAATAAAGGGTATGGCCTCCTTTACTGTTTATTACAGCCCTACATCGTCTCTCCATGCTCCTGATCAGGTTGTCGATCTCTTCTTGAGGTACAGCCTGCCACGCTGCATTCACGACCCGAACCAGATCCCTACGAGTTTCACGAGGCATACCCATTCTGAAAATTCTTCTTTGGACCGCGTCCCATACGTGCTCGATGGGGTTGACGTCAGGAGATTGTGCCGGCCAGGGTAAGATGTTTAATTGATGAGCATTGATAAACTAACTTACCACTCTGGCTGTATGAGGCCGTGCATTGTCATGCATGAGAATGAAGTTTCTCCCAAAATCATTGGCATATAGTAACACGACAGGCTCAAGAATTAAATCACGATATGTGATTCCTGTTAGAAACCTTTCAAGAAAAACGAGATCGGTTTTTCGGCCTAACTGGACTCCTCCCCAGACCATAACTGTTCCACCTTGATAAGGATGCACTTCCTGAACATGATCCAACCGAATAAGATTTCCTGGTTCTCTCCATACCCTAAGCCTTCTCAAATCCGGATGAATTCCAAAGCGTGACTCATCCGTGAAGAGAACATTGACCCATTGTTCATTCGACCACTGAACATGATCTTGAGCCCACAAATATCGTACCTCTCGATTTCCTCTCGTTAAGGGTTGAGCTCTGCATGGGCGTCTGCTTCTTAAGTTGACCTCTCTTAATCTATTGCGAACAGTGTCAGAACTAACGGTTACATTATGTGTTTCCTGGAGAATTAAACTAAGCTCTGGTGCTGTAAGAGTCGGTCGGCGTCGAACATTTAATTGTAAAAAATAATCTTGCCGAGGGGTAGTAATGCGATGTCGCCCTGTGTGCCTTTCAGCAACATCACCACTTTCACGGTAGCGTGCACTTAATCGCGATATTACACTTTGCGTTGCATGTAATGCTCTAGAGCTCTAGCTACGTCGATTTGGCGCATTCCAGCTTCGAGCATACCCATAGCCCTTAGCATTTCGTTTCTGTTAAGATGTCTACGCTCCATAATGTCGTTTAATACTAAACAGAGTTATTTGAATGAATTCTGGCCAGTTATCATAAAAACATAGCCAGTACAGGTTAAATTCGAACAATTGATGCTAGGTGCTTTTTATACATCTGACAAAAAATGCACAAACACTTCTACAAATATCCCAAATTTAGAAATAACTAGTTGACTACTTCGTTTCAATCGAAGTAGAAAGAATCGGCCTACAAATATGTGGTTGTTTATTCAAAACATTTATTTTTAACTTTAATAAAATGATATCCCTAGATTTTTCCGGTGCGTGTATTTCGACCCCTGAAACACGTCTATGAGTTTCTGTTTTGCAAAAAAAGACGTTGAAAATCTTGAGTTTTATTTTAAATTTTCCTGTATATTTAAGAAAACTTTCTAGAACTGCCTGTTTACCGCAAATTTATCCACATTATAATTTCTTAATCTCTGGTATTACAGATACAGAAAAAAACGGTGGCTCTCAAACTTTTTTAAATATAAATCTTGGTTTTTAAATTTTCAAAATTGAATAACTCGATTATTTTGGGCTTATTTGAAAAACGGTAAAGAGAAAATATGATTCTTTTATCGAGATCTACCAGTCCTGTAAATATTCGCACTTATTTAAGACACCCTGTATAGATATTAAAAGAAAGAGCATAACAAAAACTGAACATTTTTCATTTAACTTCTTAAAATTCTGTATTTTCAACAAAAAAAAAAATAAGAAAAACACACATGAGAAACATAATATGCTTTGGATGCTTTGATCTAGAAATTTTTTCACGCCATACTTCGAGACTGCTATAGAATTTTACGCGTATTTTTGGCATCTATTAATGCGGTTACTTCAAAGAATTTTCCTTCTTTTACAGTTTGAAAGAATGCAGACTGTCTAAATCACGGTTAAAAGTTCTAATAACATGCTCGCACCGCAAAATTATAACGGTAACATTCTCTTCTGATTCGCTGTAGCAGCTTGATGCATAAATTCTTCACAACATTCTCGCCTCGGGTTCAAGGATTTTAAAATTTAACACAATTTTCATATATTATGCTGAAAAAGAGATTTGTGATTTTTTATGATGTATTTCATAATAGTTCTTTTTCTATTTCTTTCTTCTATTTTTTTTTATTTCTTTTATTATTTTTAATAAATGTTATCTATTAGTTATTAGAATTGTTAAAAATATTTCTTATAAAATTAAATTTCTTATTTTCGTAATTATATTATAATAAAATATAGTAAAAATGATTAAAATAAAATAAAAAATAATTTTCTTGATTGATTTTTGTTTGTTTCAGATCACTATGAACGGTCTAAATGGTCACCAGAACGGTGATACCAACGGCTGTGGTGACATTATCTCCCAAAACCAACAGAAAGGTTGCTGGACAATAGGTTTGATCAACTCCAAGTTTCGCTACCTCACAGCAGAAACCTTTGGGTTCAAAATCAACGCAAATGGAGCTTCACTGAAAAAGAAACAAATCTGGACCTTGGAACCGGACCTTAACAACAGTGGAGAAAGTAAGTACCAATATATTTTATAATCATATCATCATCATCATCATCATTTAGCTTATTCCCTCCACTGCTGAACAGAAGCCTCTCTTAACTCTAGCCATTTCTTTCTATTTTGTGCCACTTGAATCCAGTTTTTAACCATATACATATAAAATAATATACCGCATAATTATTGTCTTAATATTGAAGGATAGATCATTGAAATATTTTTATGTCTTTCTCAGGTTTAATCTACTTGAGATCACACCTGGATAAGTACCTTGCCGTGGATTCCTTTGGAAATGTCACTTGCGAAGGTGAAGAGAAAGATCCAGGAAGTCAGTTCCAGATCAGTGTTGCTGAGGATGGTACTGGAAGATGGGCATTCAGAAACGTTGTCAGGGGATATTTCTTGGGTGCATCGGCTGATAAATTGGTTTGCACTGCAAAGGTAAGCATTATTTTTTAATTTTATGTCTACAATAGCATAAATTAAACTAAACACGAAACGGAACCTTAAAATTTTGATGTACATATTTTAAAGTTTTACACAGGGTGGTCCGGAAAAAGTAAATTCTGGAAACTTCGGCAGCATATTCTGCAGATAAAAATAAGTAAAAAAGTTCGTATAAACGTACGTCTTAAAATGCTTCGTTTCGGAGATACAAGGTGTAGAAGTTTTATTTTTATTTCGATTTTTTCCAAATAATTTATGAAGTAACGTCAATATTTGGATAAAAATTGGTGTATGGGAGTTTTTTGACCTGAGAAATTTGATTTTTAAGTCAATATGACTCCTACTAGTAGAGGGCGCCACCTACATATTTCTTAACTGGTTTGAAGGGCAATAACTTTTCGTCCGTACCTGTATAAAACTACCGAGTGAAAAAATATACATTAACGACTTTTTTTACGTAAAAAAGGTCTCTTGGTAAAAACTGCTACGAGTAATAGGTCTCGAGATATTTGAAATCGAAATTATCAATACCTGTCATCATTGACATAAATTAAACATGTTGTTGACTAAATAGTTATTAGACTGAGATCGTAAATTTGAAATGTTTTTGTGCCAAAAGTTCAACAGAAACTGTTTTATCATAATTTTTTCGCAGACAAATTTATGTTTAATTATTAAAAAAAAATATATTTCTTAAATTTATTATTTTAATGACATGTATTGACTATTTTCATTCTAAATATCTCGAGAACGGTTGCTCGTATCGATTTTTACCAAGAGACGCTTTTTACGTAAAAAGTCATGGAAATGTACATTTTTTCACTCAGTAGTTTTATACAGGTACGTACGAAAAGTTATTACTCCTCAAACCATTTAAAAAATATTTAGGTGGCGTCCTCTACAAGTACGAGTCATATTGATATCAAAATCAAATTTCTCATACCAAAAAACTTCCAAACACCCATTTTCATCTAAATATTGACGTTACTTCATAAATTATTTGGAAAATAGCGAAATAAAAATCAAACTTTTACACCCTGTATCTCCGAAACTAAGCATTTTAGGACATACATTTATACGAACTTTTTCACTTATTTTTATCTGCAGAATATGCTGTCAAAGTTTCCGGAATACAATTCGGACCACCCTGTATATCCAGGTTATTTTTTCTAGTGGGCCAATTTTGATGATCCTTTAAGCAATTTTCAGCTAAATTACTTGGTTTTTTAATATCTCTGTGCGGCACACGGTGGGGCCGATTGAAGAATAGTTGGCCAAAACCTTCAAAGATATATGAATCAACCAAAAATATATAGAATTTAACAGTTTTTACTTAATTGAATTTCTAGGTCTTCAAAATCAAAATTTTAGTAAATCTTCAAAATTTTAGTAAATTATATTATAGTTCACGTGCGTATATACCCAGCATATTGTCTATCAATATAATATTGTCTCATCAATATAATGTGAGAAAAAAGACCCGGATGACAAAACTTTTACGCTTTTGCCTTGCAAGCCATTTCGAATATTGTTGTCTTGTGGCATGTCTGTGTGTCTGTCTGTCTGTTTATCGGTCTGTTTGATATATTTTTTTATCCGTATGTAACCAACAACTTTGATAAAAAAATAAATATTGTTTTTGGATTCTAGTTTTGAAGAAGTAAAAAAATAATTATTTTCAATCGTGGTCTCACATGTCTCAAAATGAGTAGTCGGCACGTAATCAAGAAAGTATGGACTAGATTTTTCGAGTACCTATTACAGGCAGGCAACTAAAAATTAATTTCGGATGATGAGGGGGTTCCAAAAATTTTAATAACCATTTCGGGGGAAGGGTGGTTTTGGGTGCCACAATTTTTTTCTCCTTCTATTTTTGGATTGGACCAACTAAAAGGTTTTAAATTTAGCGTAAATGTGTTTAAAAATATTTTTTTTAAATGCTTAAATTTTTAAAATCGGTTCATTATTTTAGTACATATCATAGTTTGAATTTACGTGCGGATATTTTAATAAGTTAAGCCGCCATCTTGAAATTTTAAACTGTCATATTTAGACTAAAACGTAATATTTTTAAACATATTGCCTTACTTCAAATCTCCATGTTGTTCCATTAAAAAGATAAAAAAGGAGTGGGAACGTTGTATATTATCTAAGCCTCGATCTAAGCATTAATTCAGTTAAAACCCACAAAATTTGTAGATTTGAGGTGGGGTGGGAGTGAAGGGTCTAGGACTCTTGGACCTCCTAACTATGTGCTTGATTACAGGCGATTCATGAGTATCAGATTTTATTAAAATCACACGAACTTAATCTAAATAAATCATAAAGACCTATAGTATCTACGAGGCATGTTTTTTAAGTAAGTACCGTTTTGCGATTCCGCCGCCGCAGCGCTACGGTCGGCGTTCCGCGCATGCGCGCTGGTTACCTGCATCTCTTGTCTATGCACAGACGCCAGTACAGTCTGATTCTTCATTGTATACGTTGTTTATTGTGTGTTTAAGATGCCTCCGACAATCGTGAGCCCCGCCGATTGTGAAGTACGGGCTGTCATACGATTTCTTAGTGCTAAATGCGTAAAACCGATCGATATTCATCGTGAGATCTGTGAAGTTTACGGACAAAACATTATGAGTGATGGAATGGTAAGGAAAAGGGTGAGAGCATTTAAAGATGGCCGCACAAATGTGCATGATGAAGAACGGAGTGGGCGTCCTTCGGTCGTTAATGAAGATTCGGTGCAGAAAGTGGACAAAGAGGTGAAAGAAAACAGACGCTTTACAATTTCATCATTGTGCGACTACTTTCCTCAATGTCTCGTAGTGTTTTGTATCGCATTGTGACCGAGAACTTGAATTACCGGAAATTGTGTTCACGTTGGGTTCCGAAAATGTTGACGGATTTGCACAAAACCCAACGTTTAGGCAGTGCATTGACTTTCCTTGAGCAGTACTACAATGAAGGTGAAGATTTTTTAGGCAAAATTGTTACTGGTGACGAAACATGGGTGGCCTACGTCACACCAGAATCGAAACAACAGTCCATGGAATGGCGACATTCATCATCACCCAAAAGAGTGAAGTTTAAGCAAACAATTTCTGCCCGGAAAATCATGTGCACAGTTTTTTGGGACAGAAAAGGAGTATTGCTAGTGGAGTTTTTGCCTCGCAATGAGACAATCAATGCAGCATCTTATTGTGAGACATTGAACAATCTGCGCCGTGCAATCCAAAACAAAAGATGTGGCAAGTTGAGTAAGGGTATTGTTTTGCTGCATGACAATGCCCGTCCACATGTGGCTAATCGGACCAAAGATCTCATCAAATCTTTTAATTGGGAAACTCTAGATCATCCTCCATACAGCCCTGATCTGGCGCCCAGTGACTACCATTTATTCCTGCACTTGAAATAACACCTTGGCGGTCAGCGTCTTCAAGACGATAACGAAGTCAAAAGAGTTGTGATACAGTGGTTAACCAGTCAGGCGGCAGAATTTTATGAGGAGGGTATTGAAAAACTGGTGCCACGTTATGACAAGTGCCTCAATATTCACGGAAATTATGTAGAAAAGTAGATTAAGGTACAGGCTTTCATGTAAAAATAAAATTATTGCGATATCTTTGCACGTTTTTTTTAAATTCCAAAACGGTACTTACTTAAAAAACATGCCTCGTATTACTCAAAGTACCAGGGACATACTTACATTTAAAAATATATTTTTTTTAAAGTTGCGCAAAGTTGCGCAAGATGGTAACAAATACATGAAGGGTAATGTCCAATCTTTCAAAAAACATCAGCCAATAAATTGGGCAACTTTGGGCACTCAACAAAACTCAAGGTTAAATAGCATATTTTATTTTTTATATTATACTAATTTATTAATTAATTTAGTATGCACCAGTGAAAAAGTTTTTTTTTCAAAATATAGCTAGAAATAGTCAAGTAGTATTGTACTTTTATAAAAAATGCAAAAAATTAATTGTATTTAAAAATGAACCAAGAAATTTTACTTATTATTCGGGCCCTACAAATTGCAATTATTATACACGGTAGAACTAAACCTTCGACATTACTGCCCTTCACTGGTTACAGATCTGCATCCAAAATTTTTTTCTGTGCATAATATAATATTTCGGTCTTTTCTGTATTCTATGGTCATCAAAACTAGGATACATTAAAATACGCAACCAACCGTCCAATCAGATGAAAGAGGTACGTACCCTATCGTTGGGTATTGTGCAATCACGTGATGCTCATGTCGTATGACGGTTAAATCTTTGGTTAGAATTTTTGTTGTTGTTTTTACCTGTTTTTACAGTTTTTACTTTATTTTTCTATTTACATCAGATTTATATTTTGTAATTGCCTATCAGACAATACGTATTTAGAAAAATAATAAGAATTAGGATCGTGTTTTTTTTTAAATCCTGTATATTAATTGGAACCCTTGATAACATTACTGCTTTTGATATAAAAAGTGCATTTTTGATTATTTACTTGGGCTAGGATATTAAAATATCGGTTGGATTGTACGACATAAATAGATGTAGGTATGATTATTTATATATATGTATGTATTTATAAAGCTTACTATCTGATTTGCATTTTCAGTTTTTGATCAGATATTTCATTTTATTTGTGAAATGCCCACAAAAAAGCTTCCAATGATTCAACATCAGTGTGTTTGCTGCATAATGGATCATTCCTGCTGAATTTTTAGATCATTTGAAGACTACACGGAAAAAACCAGATAATATGTTACATTTTCATAGAAATTGATAGCGAGACAATTTTATAGGCAAGTGTTAGCATTATTCGAGGCACCATCAAAGAAAGCAATAATAATATGCTTAGTCCCAGAGATATTACAGCTTAGTTATTTTGCCCTACAGGAGAAAAACCAGAGTAGTTCACTCGTAATTGCATTTTCTCGGCTCCAGTTAAAATGAACAAAGCTGGTTTTTCCTGTGGTCTTCATTTGAAATAACGTAAATAAATGTTTATACATATGTATGTGATGATTAAATTGGTGTTAAGGAAATAAAAATGTTTTTCGATATTAATATATACCTATATATGTATATTTATTTTGAAATAAATTACACTTTTAACAGTTTAATGGAGTTTTTAAAGCCAGTTATAATATTTATATTTTAAAAACTTGAAATCATGTGGATGTAATCACGCATTAAACCACAGACTAACTTATATAAGTCAAAAAGTAGATTTTAGTGTTAACTTTATATAACTTGTAAGTAAAATAATAAATAAAACAAATATGAAAAAACCAACAATTCTAATGTATATATTAAAATACAGTACAATAATAGGTATCTGATACCCTCACTTAACGTAGAATAATATTCTACCCAACTCAATACTATGTCCAACATGAGTTTCAAATATATCGGGCCCTAATCGTTCCTGAAAATAATATTTTTTTACATTGTTATACCATATTCTAAACTATTTAATATTTCAGTCACTTAAAAAGTTAATTTGTATTGAATAATTGTCTACCATTAAAGCAAATTTGGACTAGTATTTTTAATGGGCATATTCTGTGTATGGATATAGGTACTTCCTCCAGATTTTGGGTTCAACCAATTTATTCTTAAAACCTGAAACATCTACGTATAAAAAATAGACAGGTTACTAATTATAATAAAATTTACCCTTAGAATTATACTTCTTTAACAAATAATTTCCATTGGTATACTTTTCCATGACAAGTAATCAACTTCCTAACATTTTTTAATTGATGTAATACTTCCTCATGATGCGAAAAGAAAATCTTTTCTTTAGCACACAAAGGACAAACGATATGTTGGCTTACTTTCAGATTAGTTACTTTTCCATAGATATCCTCATGTCAATTCAAAGACGATGAACATGAAAATGATCATCACATGAAACATCACAAACTAAAAACCTAATAAACAAGTTTATATCGAATATAGAAATAAATTTAGTGTTCTTACCTATTGTCGTCCAAATCCACGTTAATAGATAATTAATTTTTTGGATTTTTATCTTTTATTTTTAAATATATCTTTCGAACTACTGGTTTTAGTAATTATTAAATTAAACGAACTAAAAAGTCAAAAATAATAAACAATTCTCTTGTCAATTGTCAATTTTCTCCAGGCACCGAACATTATCGATAACGCACGATCTACGACGATTACTCCTTTGATCTGATTGGACGGTTCAATGACGGTTGGTTGCGTATTTTAATGTATCCTATCAAAACTTTTTGAAAAAGCAGCTTCTGTTTTATAAGGTTCTGGCCGCAAAAATGGCAATCGGTCCCACTGTGTGTATAAACAAATTTAAGCTTCTGCAAAATATAGGTGTAGCAATAGTTCAAATACAGTTCTAGAAAAACATTCTTATTGATTTTATTGATTATAGGTTTTCTGAAATAGGTAATGTGTTTATAAAGCTATTAACGTTCCAATAGTATCTATGGATTTTATCAGATATGTAACAGAAAAAAATGAAGTATTTTACGTCAAACACAGTGTCATTTTAATGCAATTCCTTTTCTGTTACTAGGTGGTTAAATATGTGTCTATTAATAATGTTCATTATATTGTTAACTTTATTTACATTCAGATAGAACTTAATGGTTTATCTATTAGTGATACTCAATTTATTATTTAAGTGGCATAAAAGTCGGTGATATCACTCATAAAACCGTGCTTAAAATAACAATGTCTCTGTCCTGTTTGAACGCCATGAAATGGGCTATTTATAGTTCTTTTTTAGATGAAATTTATGATAAAAAATGGGGAAATTCCGCAGGGCTATGTAGAATGTTTAGGCACAAATTACCTATAACAGATGCGAAAGAAAGTGACTGCATCGGAAACCGCTCGGCAAACCCCACACGCCTATTGCGTGGTGTAAATACACCAGTCGTTTAGTCCGGAAACCTATGCTGTGTCGTATTCGCTTGCTGGAATGACATAGTGCGTGGTTATATGATTCTTTTTAGAAACGGGTGTAGGATTTTTGTTGAACTTTTGAACTGTTATTTCTAAGTTTTGGTAATTTGTATATCTTATTTAAAATGGGATACAAATGTGTTTATTTATAAGGAAAAAAAGATATTTATAGTACAAAAAATTAATTTATTTAACAAAATTTAATTTAAAATGTGACAAAATAGTACCTTCCTATTGGTTCTATCGGACTTTTTTCGACTATATAAATCTTTATTTGTAAACTTTAATACATCAAATATTTTCAATCTAATAAATCATTTAATGATGTAAATAAGAGGAAATTTCTCACATGGGTGGTCAAATTCTATAGTTTTCATTATATCAAACAGCCTCTGAGAAATGTTTTCAACTCAAAATGCCTTTAATTATGTTTGACTACATTAATTAAAAGGGTCTTCAAATACATCACTGTGATAATTGTCTAAAATTTGCAAAAGAATCCGAATCTCTGGATAACTCAAAATTATTTACCCATTTAAAAGCCTTTGATCATGAAAGTGGAAAAATTTGTTCATTTTATTTACTGGAAATGGAAAAATTATTTATATTAAATTTTGATGAGTTTTGCACTGAAGAAAACATTCAGAGGCTGATTGATGTAATGAAAACTATAAAATTTGACCACCCATGTGAGAAATTTCCTCTTATTTACATCATTAAATTATTTATTAAATTGAAAATATTTTATGCATTAAAGTTTACAAAAAATAAAGATTTATATAGTCGAAAAAAGTCCGATAGAACCAATAGAAAAGTAACTATTTTATCAAATCTTTAATTAAATTTTGTTAAATAAATTAATTTTTTATACTATAAACATCTTTTTTTTCCTAATCTCCTACGAACTGATATAATATGACGAGCAATCTATTAAATTACTGTGAGATTATATGCCTCGATAACATATTGGTGCAGATTATTTTCATCCAAACAAATAATAACCCAAACTATACATTGATGCGGATTGTCTATGAACTCTTTCTGAAGGTCACAGAAACCTGAACGCTTAATTCGGTGTTCTTTCGCATCTGTTGTAGTTAATTTGTGGTTTAGGAGGGGAGTTAATCACCGCGACCTTATAGATCTATTGTGTGTTCCCCTTTCTTGAGTTATAACGAGTTATAACTCATCATACAAAATCAGGGCTTTAACAAAAGCCAGTATCTGAGACGGCTCCACAGAGGCCAGCTCTCCATCCTCGACATCAGACGTACCAAAGTTCATGGCACGAATGGTCGTCGTCTCGGCGCACTCAGTGATAAAGTGTTCTGGTGTTTCCCCATTTTCCCCACAAAATCTGCATTCGCCGTTGTTTCTCAGCTTCAGCCTACTGAGGTGTTCGTTGAGGAATATTGTTTTTACTTAAATCAAGAAAAACCTTTGATTTTTCTCGGTCGTAAGTTCTGAGGAACTTTTTCGAGTGTCTTAGACCGTTGGAGGACACCCATTCCAAGTTACGGATGGAGTCTTCCAGATTCTTCAGTTCCGCTTTCAGTTGGTTCCCGTTTGGAAAACAGAACGGTTCTGGTCCAGTTAGTGGAGTGTTCGCTCCTTTCCTAGCCAGATCATTTGCTTTTTCATTGCCTTCTATCCCTTGGTGAGCAGGCACCCAGAGTAGGAGGACTTTATTCTCTTTGCCTAATTTGTTGAGCTTTTCTAGGGATTCTTTGACCAACTTCGCGATGAAGATGATCGCGTTAAGTGCTGCTTGACTATCGGATAGGATGGCAATTTCCTGTTTTCGATAGTTCCTATCTAAGATAAATTGTACGCATCTTTCGATAGTGTAAATTTCTGCCTGAAGGATACTGAGGTAGGTGCCCATTGGTTCGGAGTATTTAGTTTTCGGCCCAAATACTCCTATCCCTGTCTCTGCTTTGGTTTTGGAAGCATCAGTATACCACGTGATGGTATGGTCTTTTATATGCTGAGTAAGCGTTTCTTCTAGCCGCAGGGCTATAGACTAATACTTTACGATAAACCAACCACAGACATGGATAAAGTATAGACTAATCATATATAGTTCATATCAAATAAAGTTTTAGTCACGTGATTAAGCTTGACCGGCACAGCGTTGCCCACTTTAACATATTTTCTTTTAATTTTTCTGTCTGCTAGTAAACATTTTTAAGCTTAAAGTATCACAACATTATTTATTTAAACCAAAAATTCAAAATACAAAACTAAAGTGTCAAAACGAATGACCATGGCAGGAAATAAATAAATGAATATGGCAACTTGACATTTTTTTACAGTAGAGCCGCCATTTGAATCTGAATTAAGGTAGCAAACAAAATCTAAAAGCCTGTACTGCTCAGATTTGCCGTGAGAAGAAACTGTATGTGTGTGACTACCTTTATTAAAATTCTGTTTATTTACTTTGACTAAATATAATTATTTTTTTCTTTTATTTTGATGTATTACAGGTACCTGGCGATGCAGAATTTTGGCATGTCCATCTTGCCGCTCGCCCACAGATGAACTTGAGGTCAGTGGGTAGAAAAAGGTTTGCTCATCTTTCAGAGAGCCTGGATGAAATCTACGTGGACGCTAACATTCCCTGGGGAGAAGACACCCTTTTCACCCTCGAATTCAGACAGGATGAGGGTGGGAAATATGCCATACACACTTGCAATAACAAATATCTGTCATCTAATGGTGAGTGAAATAAATTTGGTATCTTTTTCTTCATTTTTTTGTATTACATTTATCTATAGTATAGAGTAGAGTTAAATTTTTCAGAAATATACAAAATAAATATTTCTTTCCATAGCAACTGTTAAAATTGCCTCATATCTATCAAAAATAGTAGATAAAATAGTACTTTAACGACAAGGGTAGATTAAATGATACTTTAACAGCGAAGATAGGTTAAAAATTTTATTTCTTCTCGCACGTTTTTTAATTGCTTCCATTTTTGAAAATTGTTGTATTCCTTTTCATAAGTTATTTGGTTAAATGGAAGTAGTTTGGATATGGCGTTTGTCGCCTCAGCCTGAATATCTTTGATAATTTATATATTTCGTTTTGAGCCATTTCTGGCTCCAGTTCAATCAGGAATCGACACGAAAGAGAATTAAAAAATATTGACTCAAAACTAACAACTAAAGAGACAGCTTTATTTATTTATCAAATTACATAGAAACCAACGCCAACCCAGCACAATATTTTGTCTATTCATAATAAATTCCTTGAAATAATAATTTCTGAATATTTTTTAAAACGTAACTCGCTATGGAAAAAATATTGTTTTATACACGACGACAGGGGCGCATATACGGGAGGGGTAATGGGGGTAATTACCCCTCCCAGAAAGAAATTAATTTATTTTAATTATTACTTTCGAAAATCGAAACTATGAAACTATGAACCATTCCCGGACACAAACGGTACATTGTGAGACAGGAAATTGTAGAGAGAAACGAGCCCTATACCATAGGATACAACATTTTAATGAACAGTGCTTTCCATCAAATCAATGAAATGAAAAATATACGAAATAATATACATGTACTGATTTCTTTCGAAAATCGACAACAATGAAACTATGATCTCTTCCCCGACACAAACGGTACATTGTGAAACAGGAAATTGTAGAGAGAAACAAGCCCTATAGTGTAGGATACAATATTTTAATGAACAGTTATTTCAATAAAATCAATAAAATGAAAAATATACGAAATAATATACATGTACTGATTTCTTTCGAAAATCGACAACAATGAAACTATGATCTCTTCCCCGACACAAACGGTACATTGTGAAACAGGAAATTGTAGAGAGAAACAAGCCCTATAGTGTAGGATACAATATTTTAATGAATAGTTCTTTCAATAAAATCAATAAAATGAAAAATATACGAAATAATATACATGTACTGATTTCTTTCGAAAATCGACAACTATGAAACTATGATCCCTTCCCCGACACAAACGGTACATTGTGAAACAGGAAATTGTAGAGAGAAACAAGCCCTATAACGTAGGATACAACATTTTAATGAACAGTTCTTTCCATAAAATCAATAAAATGAAAAATATACGAAATAATATACATAATAATATTTCTTTCGAAAATCGACAACGATGAAACTATGATCCCTTCCCGGACACAAACGGTACATTGTGAGACAGGAAATTGTAGAGAGAAACGAGCCCTATAACATAGGATACAACATTTTAATGAACAGTGCTTTCCATAAAATCAATAAAATGAAAAATATACGAAATAATATACATGTACTGATTTCTTTCGAAAATCGACAACGATGAAACTATGATCTCTTCCCGGACACAAACGGTACATTGTGAAACAGGAAATTGTAGAGAGAAACAAGCCCTATACAATTACCCCTCCCAGAAAGAAATTAATTAATAAGAAAAATTTGGTATAAATTAAAATTGTTACAAAAAAGTTAATAATACAAATTAAAACAGAATATCCAAACCAATCCAAGTAGATTTTTTCCACAGTTACAATACCTTCCAGCAAAAAATTGACTCAAATTTAGTACTTTTTTGAATATTCAAACTACCCCTCCCAGACTCAATCTCTAGATGCGCCACTGCACGACGATAAAATTGCATTATCGACTATCTTGTATAAAAAATAACTATTTCTCTAAATCAACCAAACATTTTATTATAGGTAAACTGGTGGATGCCTGCAACAAAGACTGCCTTTTCTCCGCCGAGTACCACAGCGGTCAACTGGCCCTCAGGGACAGACAAGGACAGTACTTGAGCCCTATCGGTTCTAAAGCTCTGTTGAAAAGCCGTTCCAACACTGTAACCAAGGACGAACTGTTCTCTTTGGAGGATTCCTTGCCCCAGGCCAGTTTTGTAGCCGCGTTGAACAGCAGATTTGTCTCTGTTAAACAGGGTGAGTACAGTAAAACGAATGTTTAAAAGCACTGAGAAAATAAGTATTTCTAAAATTAATTGCAAAATGAAGGAAATGGTTTGAATGTATAAACAATACGACTGAAAAAACTAACGTCTATTGTCATACCCCAGTCCTCTTTGACGCCATTTTTTTGTATGGTAATAAGTTGGGTAAAAATAAATCCATGTATATTACTCTATCATATACATATGATATATATACATATACATATTACTCATATTACTCTATCATATACCGGGTGCGTCTCAACAGTGGCTCACCCCTATAACTTTTTTATTTTTTCAGTTAAAAAAACGCGATTTTTAAATGGCACTCTCGGTATTTTTTTACTTTATTGGAAAGAAAATGACACTATGAATAGAATGACATATCATATGTCAACTTTTGACATTTTCGCATATGGTGTATTTGAAATTAAAACTTGCGGTTCGTAACGAAAATTTGACTCGAAATCCCAAGTGTGTAGAATCAAATTATTAAAAAAAAATGCTTTTTCCAAATATGCTAATGAGCCACCCTCGTTCCATTTGAAAAAATTGAGAGATGATTAAAAATACAATTTGAGCATTTTCTAACTGGCCAGGATATGACACTAAAAACATTAGACGATCAAATCTATTTTTCCAAGGCTCCTTGGTTAAGAATTAGTGTTTTTAATATAGCCATGGCACTCTAGATTGAATTTTAAAATACGATTTTTTATTAAGCGAGTATGTCAAAAGTTGACATATGATATGTCATTCTATTCAGAATGTCATTTTCTATCGAAAAAAATAAAAAAAATACCCAGTGTGTCTTTTGAAAATCAAAAGTTGTAGTCATTTCCGGTGAAACCGGAAGTGACCGAAAACAATTGAATACGTCAATCAATTCTAATTTATGTCATATACTAACATACCAAATCTCGTTTTTTAACTAAAAAAATAAAAAAGTTATAGGGGTGAGCCAGTTTTTCAGACGCACCAGTATATTTCAGACGCACCAGTATACCCTTGTATACACAGTATACAAGGGTCAAACACTATAATGTTATTTATTAAAAAAAAATGACATAAAAACTTACCAAATATTATTATCTATTCTGTGATTTTGGTTCAAGATTAAAGTGCGAATACATGTTCCTTATTGTTATTAAAATCTTGACATGGCATAATCTTGAAAAAAAGAACATCGTCTACATCCGGACCGGAAGTTGATAGATCCCTCTTGTTCAAAAATGCTCATTATCAGGCTTGGGACATAGAGAGCTCGCAACATGAATAATGGAGAAACGCCGGCTTTTTTTAAACGGCACTTGAACTTGAATGCAGTAAAGGATTTAAATGAAATAAGACACGGTTTATAATCGTTTCGGGCAAGGATTACATCATTGTATGACTTTGGAACACATGTGTAACACAAGAGGATAGATAATATTAATGTGATAGTTTTTTTTCTACACATATTCTGATATAAAAGGTTACAATAATACAGACTAATAAATAATACCATTCAAATTATAACCGATTGTTATTCCTTAGCCGTCTTTGACGCCTTTTTTTGTCGATCCTATGGTGTTTTTGAATAGTGGAATGCACAACAGGCATACCTAAAGAACAGTACAAAATATATTTATAAAGTTTTCTATTGTCGAATTCTAAGTATATCAAAAATTCTGTAAGATTTTTTTTTGTTTACTTTCTTTATAAAATAATAAACAATCTAAACAACTAACAAAACCATAACTCGTGACAGGATAATTAAAATGTTTCAAAGTATTATAGTGTCAGGAAAACAAATAAATAATAAATCACAGACTCACCTAATAATCCCTGAAGCATCGACCCTGAGCGGAGGCGTACTTTAATACCTGTCACAATTAAAAGTAAGGATAAGTGTCCAGTTCATAATTCCGACCTGCTTAACTGCTATGTGCCGATATTATTTTGCCCTAACTACCTATTATTTATTTTCTATTTATCTCACTAGATGGACTAATTTATCTCTGTCTCTCTCAATACAAGATTTACAAACATATCTATGCAAATGCACTGCTTGGCCTTCCGCCCACGCACCCCCTGATGGCGCGGACTCCAGACTAATCAGCCGCACGGGCAACAGAATTCTTTGATCTCACAAAGTGGATTATCTATATTGTAGAATGAGTACGAGGGGGGAGGGAATCACCGCGATCTTTAAGATGTATTGTGTCCATCTTTCTTGAGCTATAGCTTATCATACAGGGGGTCTTCCTGTTGTAGGGGGGCAGGGGAGACAGGGGCTGCTAATATTTTGTGTTATGTTTTCCCATTCTCCATCAAGGACAAAGCGAATATTCATAATTTCGGCCATCTTCAACAAGATCAGTGACTTTTGCACAGTCTTCGACATTAAGAACCATATTCCGTCGTACACAACGATAATTATGAAAGCCACCTTGTCATTATGAAGAATAACATCAAAAAGTAACGATAATTAAAAATATTGCAAAATGTTTGTGGCAAGTTCATTTTCTTTTTAAAAATTAACCAAGGCATTTGTTGAGTCCAAATATTCCAAAAAACCAAAATATTCAGGAGGCAAGTTCTCGAATCTCCTAAAAGAAGCTCTTGAAAAAAATTCTTAGCTCTAATTTGAAAATTAATAGCTTTAAAACTTAGCTGACTACGTTGATTATAGTTTGGGGTGTAAGATTTTTTTGTTTACTTTCTTTATAAAATAATAATCAATCTAAACAACTAACAAAACCATAACTCGTGACAGGATACTTAAAATGTTTTAAAGTATTATATTGTCAGGAAAACAAATATATAATAAATCACAGACTCACAAAATAATCCGTAAATAAAAGTAAGGATAAGTGTCCAGTTCATAATTCCCACCTACTTAACTGCTATATGCCGATATTGTTTTGCTCTAACTACCTATTATGTATTTTCTGTTTATCTTACTAGATGGACTAATTTATCTCTGTCTCTCTCAATACAAGATTTACAAACATATCTATGGAAATGCACTGCTTGGCCTTCCGCCCACGCACCCCCTGATGGCGCGGACTCCAGACCAATCAGCCGCACGGGCAACAGAATAAACACAACATATCGATCCCGAGATTCGAGGACCCTGGGGGCCTGTTCCCGCCGCTGAAGACCCGGAGGACCGAGATCCTGCCAAGCAACATTAACGGGCCTATCCTTGCGCTTCCTCAAGCTAAGCAGTACTAACTCTACTGAGAACAGAAATTCACTAATCCACCTAAAGCTTACGTGGCTATCATATTAACTAATTATTTACTTTGCAAATGAACTATCCAATCTCCCTCTCTCTCTCTCTTGATTACAAATTTACTTATCTCATCAAATACTAACGTACTGTCTTGCCCCCGCATTACCCTTCTGCATTAGGTAATATTCTCAAACTTTCTTTTTCGAAACAGAATTGTTTCGACCAATCATCGTTCGATTTTGAACGCTTTTCTAGGAATACTTTTACCCCTAAATCGGAGCGCAGGACGCCCATAAAAATCAGATATGGCGTGACATGCTTGAGACGCAGAAATACTTAGCAGGCACAAACTCTTAACATGTGCCGTTTTAAAACCTATCTTAAAAGAAATATTATTGGGAAAATAAACTCACGTTATAGGGGGTTGGAACCTTTGACGACAACAGCAAAATAAAACACTTATTCACCACAGTATATTAAAACACTTTACTTTTGCACTGGAGGGGCGTATCGCTAACCATGCTAGCATCATCAGCAGATTATTAAATTTAATCTCAGAGCTAAATGCAAACTAGTAAAATATGAATTTTTGATAAGTTTTATGTGAATTTTTTCTCAATGATATCTAGAGGTCAACCTCCCTAAAACTATCGTCGATTGTTATTCCCCAGCCATCTTTGAAGCGGTTTGTTTTATAATTCCTTACTTTATCTAACGAAACTTCATGCAAAAAAATCTTACCATGGCTACGCAATAAAGAGTTTTAGCCAATTTTCGTTAGTTATCTTATAACGTAAATTAGTAAATTGGGAATGAGAGTATAACTATACGCCAATTGTTGATATATTTAGATATTTTACCGTTAATAACCCTTTAATTAATTTAAATGAATAATTTTTAAATTAAAATTGACACAACCTTGCACTCAATTTTTGTTAAGCAATCTCAACGTAAATTGGCAATTTCCAATAATATAGTGCAGCGCATATAAATTTATTTATTTTGTACTATTTGTACTACTTGTTTATTACCAATTTGACAATGGAATTTACACCAAAAGTTTACAATATAAAACACAGTAGATATTATGTTTATTAGTTTCAAGAATAAATGTTAAATATTTGAAATTATAATTTAGAATATTATTACACCGTTCATCAAACTTGTATTCATTTATCTTTAGGAATATTTGGTATGTAAGAGAAAGGAATGAAAAAAATGTATAGGGTATAAAAAACTATATTAATATAGAAAATATTAAGCAAAACATGAAAATATGGTTGAATTTTGTCCTAAAAAGAAGTTCTAAAATTAAAACGCGTTTCTATGGTAATATAACTTCGTTCATTCTTTGATAGATTGTTTTTTGTTGTTTTAATTTTAAAATGTTAAAGAAGCACAAAATTTATTTAGTTAAATGCTACGGAAAGGGTGATTATAGTTATCGGAAAATATGATACTTTAACAACAGCAAAGAATATGACATTAATCAAAATTAATTATAACCATCTATCAAAGAATGAAATCGAATTGATGTTACCATAGAAACGACTTTTGATTTTTAGAAAAAAATTCAACCATATTTTCATGATTTTCTTAATTTTCTCTAAAACTGTATGGAAATTTGGAAAAGTATAAACGGGATTGTCCATTTTAGAATAAGCTAAAATTTTTATGAAGAATGCATTTTTCTCAAAATGTCAATAATAAAAAGTTATTCCTCTTGTAAAGACAATCCGGGGACATACTGTATAATTAATGTTAATTTTGAC